CATCACTGGCGCATGGTAACAACCAACTGACTGCAGACCATTTCCGGTCACACATTACTCTCCATAACACAGCACCCCCTAGTTCTGTCACCTCTGGGTAAACTAATCATGGGAAAAAATCATGCTAAATAGGATTTGAATCCAAAGCCCTGGAATTTGAAGGCAATCACCTGTATCACCATTCTATTTATTGAATAATTACCTGGTTAATTAGCTATAGTCATTGTTCCTATACTCCCCTTTAAAAAAACAAGTTCTCGTAATCTTGAAAGCTCAGATGAGGGCAGTATAATAGAGCCAGTACAGCTAAAAAGGATCTGTTAATCAATCAACTATTAATCAATCAGCCGAGTGTTTCTAGAGCTCCTCATGAGGGCAGTATAATAGAGGCAGTAGAGCTAAAAAAGATCTATTAAGCTTGCAAGTATGAATAATTTTTCATTCCTGATGATGACATAATTAATGTCGAAATATTGAATCCCGACACGATGCCGTGCATTTTGATACTTGGAGTATGTATTATACTATATCTTTTCTGAGATTAATCATTGGACCTTTCCATTTTTGCTTATTTTCTTTATTATGTCATAATTGAATTATATTATATGCTTAATTTCTTTCATCCATTTTAACTTTAATTTTACCTAAATAGATATCATAGTTTTTCTCTATTCATTACAGGTAACTCAAACAAAAGTAAACAAATACTTCCAAAAGTTCAGAGAGTGGTTGATAACGTACGGTTTCCTCAGTCATCAATTTCCCCAATCCAGTCATCTATTGAAACACCAATGTGCTCCAATTCGACCAGTTCTTCCCATCTACCATCAAGTTTTGCACAGTTTTCTGCATCCTTTAGTCCTATCAATGCACCAAACACAACCCAGGAATTGCCACAAAAGAATAAAGATCATATTAAAGAACAACCTTTCCAAAGTTGCCAGAGTGCTTTCTGGGAGCACAAACCAGCTAAATCTACTAGTAAAGAGACTGATTTGAAAAATATTCTGCCAATTAGGAACTCTTCTTCTGAACAGTCACAAAAGCCTTCAGAATTACACACCTTGAGTGGTCTTTCACTGATTGCTCCATCTACAGCCCTCAGAACCAGTGGAACAAAAACCATTGATGCAGGTACACAGTCATCTGCAGAGGTGATTTCTGACCACCTAGAGACTTCCCTACCAATGTCAAGTGTTCCTGGAGCAAGTTACGCCGTAGTTGAAAGAGAGAATTTAATGATTGGAACTTACATTGCACCCTCCAGTAAATCTGATTCCTTAAGCGGGTATGACAGAGAGTTTGCGGAAGAACATGCTCCTGGTGCAGAAGTTCTGGTGACAAATCTGGACCCCATGCTTAGCAAGAAAGAACTCAGGAGGCAACTCATTGCTGCATTCACTGACAATTGCATAAGAGTAAGTGTTACTCTACATGGAAATACAATTGGAAAAATGAGTACTGCATTGTAATTGTCTCTGATGATGAGAACTGGCTTTCTCAAAACATGTGTGCTGTAACAATAAAGGCTTGCGTCCTGTTCATAAAATACCTCATTTTTCGTAATCAACTTTCTACAAAATCATAAAATTGGTTATTAGCCAATATGGTCTGTGCAAAAATAGGAAGTTCAATTCTAATTTTTTATTGAAACATGTAAACGAGTTCAGATGAATATTCTAATAATAGAAATCTGTTATAATTATTGTTATATTTTGTTTTCAATGTAAATTATTTCTTTGGGTAATATTTTATTCACTGATTATCTAATGCAGATGGAGAATTTGTCTTTGCATGCCCCATCACAAGGCCACATCCAAGCCGTGGTGAAGGTCAATTGTGTCAGTGATGGACAACTTGCTCTTGCTAAGATCGGTGGCAGGAAGATTGGCACCAGGAGAGTCCAATTGGCAGTGGTGCCAAGATCTCAATCAGGATCTGATCATCTCAGGTTGGTACTCTTGAAGACATGAATCTCCTTCCTTAAAACTCGGTCCACACTGTCAAATTTTATTTGACAAATTTGTGTGATGTGCCTATATGTTGGCATGATGATGTCATATTATACCCAAATATGGGCATATCGCATTTTTGTCACATTAAATTTGAAAGTGTGGACAGAGCTTAACCCCTGTCAGACTATCAAATTTTATTTGATAAAAACATGTGACATGCCTAAATATGGTCATGATGTGATGTCATCATGACATATATAGGCACACCATGACCATATATGGGCATACAACAGTTTTTTTTAAAAGAAAATTTGAATATATTGACTGCTTAAGACAGGACATGTTTATACCGTGTGTTGATTGATATCTCAAGTGAAAGGTGTTTATATTTCATTGTCACAGGTTGATGGTTACCCCAATGCTACAAGAAATGCCAGGAAAATGTCTTCCCTTTTACAAATTTAAGGAAGTCTTTGAAAGCAGGTGTGTATAAAGTCAAAAATGTTGTGTGACAAATACTTATTATTTGCCCATATATGGGTTAAAAATTCATTATGCCTGTATATGGATGTGATAGGACATTGTAATGCTCATATATACTTGCGTATCTGGGAGGTTTATTGCATGCAGCAAACTATGGAATTTCTCTCATTGGCATCATTCCAATGTTTGGGGTATAATAATGTGGAAAAGTGTCTTGGTATCTAATTGTGTAGAGCGCTATAAAAATACATACATATTATTATTACTGTTTGTTTATTTGTCTTAGGTACAACCAGCAGCTGTTTGAGGAAGACTTGTACCAGATCTCAGACACAGTTTTGGTCAAGGACAGTGGGTCTACTAAGCTGGTTTGCTTGACCATTCAGCATCATCGCAGTACACCAAATTCGTTCTTGACATCATCGTCCAGCGGCTATAGACAATCACCATGGACCATACCTTATGAACCTCCAAAGTATGTTATGTATGCATGTGTCAAAGACATTTTAAAAAAACTTTTGTTTTGTATAAAAGTATAAAAAAAACCCATAATTTTACAAGTAGAATGTGTAAAAAAGTAACATGCGTATAACGATAATTAAATTTTAATTGTAATATTCGTGATTTTATTTTGTTAAGCAGGTGATTTTTGCACCCAAATTATTTCTGAAAAGTACAAATATTAAGTGAATAGCAATTAACTTCAGATTCAATTTTAAATCAGGAAAATGTGAAGTATAAAAAGTATCATTTTACAAGTAGAATGTGTATAAAGTAACATACTTGTAACAATAATTAATTTATTATTGTAATATTTGTGATTTATATAAAGCAGATGAATTTTACACCCAAACTTATTTCTCAGAAGTACCAATATTAATTGATTAATAGAAATTAACTTAGGATTATGTTTTTTTGAATCAGGAAAATGTATCTTTCTACAATTTTCTATGAGTGCTACATTACGATACTGAAATACTTGTAACAAATACCCTTTAAACTTTATAAACTTTTAGAGAGCTGTCGATCCCACCATGTGAACCTTTTTGCAACCAGCATGACGATATCGGAGTTGTGGTGAAAAACTACCAAATGAGGGCAGCAGAGACAGATCAGAACGTAGCAGTATCCTTGAGAATTTTCTCCTCTCAAGTTGAGACTCTGTTGCAGCTTCACCATGGCAGAATTCCCCTGATAAGGTGAATAAAGTGCATTACCGGGAGTCTCCCGGAGGTCCTGGGAGTCACCTGGAAATCGGTATGGTCTCCGGCACTCCCGCAAACAAGCAAAAATCCCCCGGAAATTCACTTATCCCCTGCAAATTCAGTCAAAAACAAATCTTCCTGTTTTATTTAGGTCTAAACTTTGGTTGCCGATTATTTTTTGTAGTCTGACAGTGCCATTTCTGGGCTTCTAAAGGTGCTTATTCTACTAAATGTCATCACCTCATCCGCAATCATGGCTGGCCTGAGGTGGGCCTGGCCCTTTGTTTGGTACCTACACTTTTTCTTCATAGAACATATAGCGCCCCCAATGTCATTAAACGAATCTCCCGGAAATGGGTTCTTCCAGCTTGGGACCCCTGACTTATTGATACTTAGTTTATACTATACCTGAATTCTCTAGAAAACAGACACGTAGGTGTCTTGCCTAAAAGGTACAGCAATTTCACAAGCCTTTTGTAAGAAATTTCGAGATTAAGGACACATTATATCTTCTCTAGTGTAATATTTATCCTGTTAAAGTGATATTCTGTTTTAAGGAGTATTGATTAATAAAGATATATACTTATAACCAATAATTGTATCATCTCTTACATACAGTTTTACCAGGTGTTACGCTGCTGAATTTGAAAAGCTAGAAGAAAATCCAGAAGGTGGTGTACCGCTTGAACACCTGTTGACCTGTGTACCAGGTGTCAGGGTCGCTGTGAATAGTAATGGGGTCAAGGTAATCTGTTTCTCCGGGAAGGGGAAGATCATTATGGGAGACGGTGAGTAACTGAGGATACATTGTTAGGTTTTGTCTGTCAAACTCGAACAATGTTTGATGATACTTTGACAAATCTTAATTGACATATCAAGTTGTTCTCAATGTTCTTCAAAGTGTAACCAATGATGTATTTAATCAAAATCTGACAGACAAAATCATGAAAAAAGTAAAATTATTGTTGGCGTAAACTGGACTTTTAATGAAATCCACAACCACCAACGTTCAATACATGTAGTTTTTATTTTTAGATCTTGGACGGTCTACCAGCCCAATCCTACCAACTTTATTGTTCCAGTTTAGTAAAGAAGCCACTGAGGTGCTGAAGCACAGTTCCTACTGCCGCCTTGAACTCAACCTGTTCCTCCAAGCCTACAACCACCACTTTGGCAAACATTGTCATCTAATTGATTATGGCTACACCAAGCTGGTCGATATCTTCTCAACCATACCACACATCATCCAGGTGCGATTGTACAGAAATATTATTTTAGGGCATTTGGTGTGTAAGGGATTTAAAGAGATTCTTTTTATCAAGACACATGGAGTCCGATAATAAGTAATAGTTAGTGGGATTTGAGGATGGGGATAATCAAGGATTGTGGTAACTAATATTAACAATAAATTTGTCCTATTGCTCTGCATATTTGCATAACATACTGCTGGTCAACTGACCATTGGTAGCATTCCGAATGAATCATCGTTAACAACCATTTACCATGCAACCCCTCGTGAAGCAGTCTAAAGAATTTTGAAAGCTGGCGAGGCTGATGCAGAGCATGCTGGTGCAAGTCCTAGGTTTTAATTTACTACTGTGATTTCAGAATCGAATATGCTACAAGCTTTTTTTTGTGTGTAGTTTTGTCAAGTTTAATGACAAGCTGCTCTTCTGTTTCTGTACTAGCAGTTCTACAAAATATACATACAATCATTTATTAAATTTTTTAGATGCTTGGCGCTGGAGACAAACAGATTCTTACCTTGACTCATCAAGTTCAAATCAAACGATTTGCTCAGGATGTCACTAAAGTGCTCAGGTCACAGGCAAGCAAACAGGTAAAATGCCATTTAGTTAAAAGGATAATGTAAAAAAATGATAATAACAAGATTTGAATAATGCTCACAGTAAAATAGCCATTGAACAATTGTATAGTTTTAGAATTTCTTTAGAGAATAATACAGGTAAAAAATAATTTGGGGTGTTTTAGGGTGATGGACTGGTTGAGGTTTAGACTATTCTGGTTGTAAGTAAGCCCTTTATTTTATACTTCACTTATTTGCAATATTATGATTTAAGTATTAGAGTTTTTGATTTGAAACTTGGATTTTGTTCTGCAGGTGACTGTTGAGGACTTGCCTGCAGCATTCCAGCGGTGCCTGTCCCGTCCATTCAACCTAGTGGAGTATGGAGTTTGTGAAATACAAGACATCCTTGTCGACATTCCAAACACTGTCATCATGGTAAGAATATGAAGCTACTAATGATACCAAAGATGATGTTAATGATTATGGTGGTGGGTATGATGAAAGCTATGAAGATAATAATGAAGATGATGATGAAAATAAAGAGGATGATGGTGATGATATTGATGATGAAGAACATAATTATGTCAATGTCGAGGAGTCCAAATTCTCTCGCAAATTGTGGCAAGCTTTTTTTTTTGGGAAATTTCCATATTACCCCACCCTCCCCCACCCCCTCAAGCAAGCAAAATCTCCAGATAGATGACCCACCTCTTTAAAAATTTACATAGTTTACTACTTATAATTGCCTTTCTGAATTCAGCTGACCAGGTGTATCATGACACACAGGGGTGGATCCAGTGGGGTGCAGGCATGGGGAGCATGTGCCCCCCCCAGTTTTTCAATTAAATTTTTAAATGTTATGTGCTACTCACTTATTCTGAGAACCCCCCTCCCCCGTTTGAAAAATTCTGGATCCACCCCTGACACACAGCAACATACAATACAGTTTATTTTAAACCACATCTTCTATAGCTTCTCCATACTTGGGACCTCTTTTAGGATAATGTTTGTGTTTGTATGTTCTGTCTGAATTCTTGTTTGTGTGAGTCTTGCTCAGTTGGGCATTCCTTGTACATGAAATTGCGGACTTTTTTTTAGGCAAGACTTTTTTGTTCCCTGTTTTGCAAACTTATTTTTTAAAGATCACCAGAGGAGGGCGGGAAAAAAAATATAGTTTTCTTATTAAGCAATGCAAAGAGTTTTGCCAAAAACATCAAGACCGAGGAGGAAATAAAAATTGTATTGGCAAATGTAAACGGTGTAGTAATGGGATGGTGAAATGCTTTGAATTTATATAATTAGGAAGAAATATACATATCTTAGCTTTCTAGATTTCAAGGCAGCGGAGGGCATAATAAAAATAAAAATTTTTTTAAAATTAATTTTTTCTGAAATTTCCTGTTTTTTCGTGGCGACGGGAGTGCTAATGATCCAAAACATAAAAGTTTATTTTTAATTGAAATCATCATTATTTGCGAGCGGCGGGTTCACTAAACAAGGTATAAAAAAAACTTTTGGCTTAGCACAAGGAAAAGCACTTTAGAGGAAATAAGTACCAAGTGATGGTTATAGTAATAATGGTAACTAAATATGAAAATTGAAGATTTCTATTAGAGAGAATAAAAAAAATATTTTAAAAATGGACCTTTTGTTATATTTAATTTCAGGTGGATGGTGTCGGAGATGATCTTACTTTATCAATTCCACACAGAGGTGTGTTACAGAGCGAACATTAATTTTCACCATAATTTCATTACATCAATGTTTTCTGTATTGTCATTTTGTATTTATGGGTGGTTTTTATGTGCAATTTTTGTTTGGTTGTTATGTGCAATTTTTGTTTTGTTTTTGATTATGTATTTGAAAGAATTTGTTAATTTGAAATCATTCATATTTTTATATACTGTATTAAAATTTTCTATATAGATTGTATTGTGAAGTCATTTATGTAAACTTTTGGTGTTATTATTGAGTTATCATGGCCGTACTATTATTATTATTGTCATCATTTCAGTAGTTATTGTAATTTGCATTAATGTCATCCTCTATACCATCGGCAGCATCATAGTCACTGTAATCGTCATTATCATTAATTTGTTGTCGTCATCATGATTATCACATCACCCACCATCACCATCATAAATAATAATTTTCATCACCATTATCAGTAGCAGTAGTAGTTAGTATTGCTGCTCCACGTCTTTGCCTTGCTCTGTCAAACACATTAGATCTTTAAATTTGTTTAATAAAACTTTAAAATTGCATCTCTTCTCCGAGGCGTATAGAGAACCTTGATGTTTCTCTGTCTGTTATTAAAAAAAAATATAATAAAAAAACATGCCACTTTTCTCTGTCGACGCAATGTTGCTCCGTTTGCAGTGCACGGTAGTGGAGCCCTGGGCTTATCCTGGGGTGGAAGGTGCTGATGCTCAACATACTGCCTTTGAGTATCTGCGCATACTTATATGGGGAGCAACACTGCCTCGATTGGATAATTGGTATACTGATTCTGCTCGAAATTTTTCTGGGAATTAATTTGGATTTTCACTGAGGCGTATACAGAACCTTGATGTTTCTCTGTTGAATTTATATTATTTAAAAAAATAAATAAATAAAAAAACATGATACCACTTTTCTCTTTCGACGCAATGTTGCTCCTTTAGCAGTGCACGGTAGTGGAGCTCTGGGCTTATCCTGGGGTGGAAGGTGCTGATGCTCAACATACTGCCTTTGAGTATCTGCGCATACTTATATAGGGAGCAACACTGCCTCGATGGGATAATTGGTATTTGTATTTTGTTTGAAATTCTTCTGGGAATTTTATGGATAAATTTTATCACCATCATCTTCATCATCATTATTTCCATAATTCCATCAGCATCTGCACTAAACCAGCTCATGCAGCTTTACAGACGAGAGCAGGGATATCACCTCCAACCCACTGATTACCAGTGCAGGAGTGTTGAGGAAGTATTTCAGAAGATGCCCCATGTTGTCGAGGTAAGTATGAAAGATGAATTGTGTTTGAGTCTAATTATGAATCGTAACCTAAGAATACAAGCTAAGTCTAAAGCTGTGTTTCTTAAAGTCAGGCTCCAGAGGAAAATTTTTTTTTGATATGTTGTAGGACTGATTTTTATAAGAAAAAAGATGTTTGAAGAAAAATTCTGAAAGCGATTAATGAGATAAAGATTATTGAATATTTGAAAACTGGAGTTAAAGAAGAAAATGATGGTAATGCCACATCTAGATGTGTATAAGAGACAGGTTTTTAAATATTTAAAATTCTGTATTTCATTAAGTGTTACCAAATTTTCGGTGAGACTTTTTTGTGTCTTAGAAAAGTCAGTTCTACAACATATCAAATTTTTTTTCCCACTGGAGCCTGACTTTGAAACAATGTTTACCTAATTTACATAAATTTACATTAGTATTCTGTATGTCGCTGAGTTGCAGATACTGTATATTCAAGTACCTACTAAATATTAGATTAGAAACTAATCCTACAGTTACTTCTTTGCAGATTAACACCAGAGAAACAGAGAAGAGTGTTGTGTTAGTTAATCGCAAGCATCTGAGCCAACTAGCCCAGTGGGTGCTAGTCATACTAGTAGACCAGCCAGAAGGACGCTTACTTCTTAAGCATGTGCCTGATGTCTTTCGGCAGAGGTACCAAACTGATCTAAAACATGTGGAGTATGGATATAGTCAACTGGTACTACTGCTCTCTGATATACCTCATGTGGTGAATGTAAGAATTATTACAATAATTGATAAAACTATCACCCTTTCATCTAGATCATGACCCTTTGTCAATGATTACATTAAGCAGAATGTTTTTCAAATGTATTTATATGTAACTCATCCTGTAATTGGCCATTTCCTGTTGATTTATGGTGCAAACTCCACATCATACAGCTGTAAATTCAACACAGAGCAATACATTCAAATTGTTATAAAAAGTGAAGAGGGAATGAGGTTGTATATGTGGTGATTAGCATTAACATATGGGTGCCTGAACTTCCTTCTTGAAGATGAAATGAATTCTGCCATTCAGATCATTAATGCTTTGCTTAAATTCTGATTGGTTGATTTTATTTCCCAGGTCTATAAGAAGTGGCTACCAGAGTGTTACATTGAACTAACCCTAGGCTACCAGTTTGCTCGCAAAGCTCGACTCATCCTGCTGAAAAACCAAAATTGTATAGCCTTGCAGGACTTTGCAGACTTGTATGAGAAATACTTTCAAGAAGCATTTATTCCAAGTAACTTTGAGAAAGATACCATTGCAGCTCTAGTGGCAGCTGTGCCGAGGGTGCTAACTTTAATTGGCAGAGGACAGCGAAGAGCTGTCGTGTTGAATGCCGACTTGAAAGGTGAATGAACTTTTACATACTAGTGATCCATTTAATCAGGAGTAGTAGTAGTGGTTTGTATAGTAAATCAAATTTAATAATAATAATAATAATAATGATGGTTAAAATGTTTTGCATTCTAGTTGTAAGATCTATTACACCAAGCAGTTCAGAAGATAGAGAAACTTCATTCAGCCCCCATCAAGGTAAACCGATGTGCATTCTTTAACTGTTACCTTCCCTTGATCCAATAAAAATGAAAGTCTTCACAAAACCTTGATCTCTGGTTCAATTCAATCGGTGCTCTCCGTATGTTTCAGCTGCAGGGCTGAATCACATGTTATAGGTAGCACACTCTCTTTTGGAAGAGATGTTTAAGATGTTGGTGCTTGTGTACTGCACAATTCACCACCAGAAAGATATCACTGGAATAAGTCTTTAGACATATGTGGCAGAGCCAAGCCAAAGGAGGGATAAGTCGCACAGGCAGTTTTCCAATAAATGCACAAACATGAAATTGGTCATTTTTTTAGATTATTTTTATCTCGGAAAACATACATATTAAACATTTAACTTTCATCCTACATTTACTTTTCTCTGATTTATAATCGATAAATGCTCTAAAAATGTTATTTAAGAGTGTCCTAGCGTACAGACATAAAATCTGATTTTCAAAGCCAGTTTTCTCAAAATAATAATAATGTCTAGTTTCATAATACAGTATGTACAAAACTCAATTTTGAAAATTTCGACTTATCCCTCATTTGGCTTGGCTCTGCCACATGTAGTTGATCTTAGGGTTGTTTGATATGAAATACTGTATATTCAATCCAAATCAAGTATGTAGATTTATCATATTATGCAACTACAAAATGATAACGAATAATAGCACATGTCTCAATAATGCTAATAACTCAATAACACTCTTTTCGACATTCAGAGTCTGATGGAAGTGTAAAGACTGCAAGTATTGAGACTTGTCAGGAATCTGGTTTTGTTTCCTGCTCTGGTTCCAATGTGGGTGATGATCCAACCAGCATGATAAAAGAGGACACATCAGGATCATCTGTCAATGATGCAAGTATAATAAATGGTCACAGTGGAACCAAGTCAAGGGCTGCCAGCTCATCTGATAGTAGATCAGGCCAGAACCAAGTGCCAGTGCAGATTTCCAGTGATGCCAAAGGATCTGCACAGGGAGAAGCTGCCATTCCTGGTTCATTTTCGGAATCAGCCATTTTGTTTGATAAAAATAGCCAAAGTTTCGGTTTTACCCACGCTGCAGCAAGTGCTTCCTCCAGGACAGAAAGCAGTGATCTTGACCTCATCGACTTCTCTTCACCATCAGTAAAACAAGGTATCCAAAATCTTCAGCAACTTTTGACCTCTATTGTGTGAACTTGATTAAAGTGCTTAATTAAAAAGATTTTATAAAGCTATCAATTTTCAAAGAGACAAGAAAATATTTAATTTTTTGCTCATAACTTTATGAGAAAATACATATCTTGATTTTCTTTTTTAGATTTGTCATGTGATAATAAGCAAAGTGAGAAGTGTACGAGTCAGTCGCTACCATCCACCCCATCCAGACTTCGGTCAAGATGCAAGATCGCCGCCAACTTTTCTCTATCGCATATGTAGATGAGGTGCATATACAATCTATATTATTTTTACAATATTAGTATTGTTAATCACTCATTACGTATAAAGTATTATTATACAGTACTTTGAAATTGGTTTATCAATTAATTGATAGTGGAAACCAGGTGGTGTTTTTCAATGTTGTACTTACATTAAATATGTATACAACTTGAGGGTATTGTTTACATATAAAGTGGCGAAAATATTGAAAAAATTCTTAGTGTAGAAAACAAAAAGAAAATTCAGGTATATTGTGTGTGATTTTTTTTGCATATTCATTGAGAATATATGGAACAATTTTTATTAATTACAAGTTCAGAAGCATAAAATTTATGATTCAATTATGTTGATATTTCAAAACATTCCTAATAGGCCTATATTTACAGAAGAAAAATTAAATTAAAAAAAAAACACAGGCTTATTTTCAACAAATTTGTATACCAAAGAAAATGTAACTGTACTGACTGCCTTTGCAAAAATGCATAAGTGTTTGTGCTGTGTTCATCAGCAGTGGTTTTGTTTTCTTTTATCCGAGTCATAGGACCAAATAGAATCAAGTCAGTGTATTCATTTTATTAGTATTTATTGTTTATTGTATAAATTATATATAGGAGCAGTACTCGTAGGCAAGAAATGAAACTCCTGTGCCTTGTGTTTTTGTAATGTGTTATTTATTAACCTTAATTTTTTGCATGAAATATGCTTATTTTTGCATTAAGATCTTAAAATATATATGAAAAAAAAGTAATTTAGAGCAGCAGCCTGATAAATAATATTTAGGTGATGAGAAAAGCAAGGTATTGTGGACAGGTTTTTGAAAATTGTGAAAGAACAAAATTGATTGAGAATGACATTTTTAAATAATTTTCTGTAAGGTAGGAAACTATATACAGTACAGTAATTTAGAACAGAAAGATTAAGATAATGAAAAAAGCAGGGTAAATGGATAGGTTTATGAAAATTGTGCAAGAACAAAATTGGTTCAAAAGAACTAATGAAACAAACATGACATTTTTTAATGATTTTCTTTAAGGCATTAAACTTGTAATGGCGTGCATAATGTGTATGCATATTCATAAGGTTGTTTAGGGTCATGACCTATGCCTTTTAAATGAATATGCAGTGGTAGGAATCGCTTCCTCCAGTTCATCCGCTTGTGTTCCCTGATGCTGGGATATATCGAAGTGGAATTGATTGAAATCTCATTTTACAAGTCAGCTGATGAATTTTTAATATTTTTTTAAACTTTATGTGGTTTATTTTGAGCCATTAACTAATTACACGAATTCTACAATTTTTTTGTATGGAATATATGCCTTCATGAATGTATTCAAGAAAATGTCTTGTAAAGTTGATATTACAGATATAATACAAAAAAAAAATTAAGTCAAAACAACTAGAAAAATTGATTGTGCTATTTTATTATATAGTTATTTTTTCAATACAATTTAGTACAGATATTGTGAATTGCTTGCAATTTAAATAAATGTTTATTTTTTAACATTCAGTTAATTCATTTTGAGAATAGTTTATTAATAGATAATTTGTTGTAAGTACTGTATTGTATTTTTGTCATTGATATTTCTCTGTGGACAAATAAGTAATCAATGCATTAAAATTCCAAGATTATTCTTAGTCTTAACCCGGGCACTCGCTGCTTCATACGACTGTCGCACGACAAATCCAACTCCGCTCTACGTGAGCGGATTCTCAGTTGGTTGTCATTAAAAATGATCCGTTGCATTCTCCAGAGAATCGCGTCGGCTGAATTGTCGTGTTCAGTGAGCGCCCGGCTTTAGTGCAAGAAATGTGTTTTTGTTTGGACAAGTCAAAGAAGAGAACTGTGTGTAAAATGTTTATTTTATATGGGAATTAAAAAAAGCAAGAAACTGAGTAAAAGCTTGCTATATTTATTTCATACTTTTAATATCAACCAAAACAAATCACTCGTTCTATACACGCCAATCTTAAATGAAGTTATAATAACAGTCGTCAGTCGTGATTGTCAGAGTTCGAAACCTTACGATAACCCTTCAAGAATTTTGTTTACACAGGCATTGACGGCTGGTACACTGCATTTTAACATTCCATTGAAATGCTGTTTTTCATATATGTACACTAAACTTTTGTATGCTTTATGTGTACTATATATAACTACTATAGTCCATGCTTAGGTAATCAATCTCTAAATATTGATTGGTACCAGCAAATTCACTGTCAGAGTGATGTCGGAGGTCCTGTTTTTCCTTCAACGTAACGGATAGGAACTGAAAACGAAATAAAAATGAATTGTTGATAGCTTGTCAATTGTTTTTGAGGAATGGTTCTTAATGGCTGTGTAAGTTAAGGGGTGACTTTGGCCTAAAATAGATCTTTCCGCTAAGTCCTTTCCCTTCGATATTGTTGCTTCGTTAGTGGGACAACATGTGTGCTTGTTAGAAATGCGCGTATTCCTGACCCTGTTCTGATTGTTCGGTTCGATTTACGCTCTGGAAAGGTTCATTGGCTGCGTAGGTCAACTTATATACATTTCACAATTCACTTTGTCCTTTTGGAAATTCAATTCAGTAATTTATATTAGTATAGAGTACTCAGTAATCTTATTTACTGATGAGCTAACTAGTAAATAATCTGACTAATGGTAATGTGCATGACTAGGGCCTATAATATTTGTTTGATTTATAAACCTACCTGGATATTTTGTGGGCATACTTTTAATTGATTCGGCTGCCTCATACTTCCACGGTGACAAAAGCCATACAACAGGACCTGAAAACAACAATATATCGAAGATAAATGATTAAATCTGTGACAAAATTTGGAGTAAGCTATGCTGCTCAATATAATAACAAACGACATATTTATAAAGTACATTATAGGCGTAGACCTAAATAAAGAATAACATTACCTGCAAGGCCAAAGGCAAATGACATAACAATGACAGGTTCACGATCCCATGCAAGCCTTAACCAAGGAATAATACCTGGATACAAAAAAATAAATAAAAATAATAGAATTAAAATAACATTAAATCATTAAGTTTATTTAAATGGATGATCGGATCCTTAGAGACCTGGGTCCGTTCGTTTTAATGATGCACTCGTCCTGAACGTGGGACCGATTGTCCAGCAGGGTTATCAATCTGCCTCAACAAGGCCTACCCATTATGTACATAGGCCTACATCATGTTACCGGAGGCTAGCTAGCCAGCCTAGTTTTTATAATTATATTTTAGCATAATTGATTATTCATTTATGACAATTTTTGAAATTGCACACATAATAATAAAGTCTAACCTTTCCTCCAAGCTTGTCTATAACGTCCTACCACAAGTGTTGTCATGTTTTTGTGGAGTTTTACACAACTTTCAATCAACACAACGGCTAACACAACTAGGACTAGGCCTAGGCCTACGCGCTGGAGACTGTTAAAAATCCTGATTAACCTGTAACATGACTAGACTCGAGTACAGCGTTGTACAGAAAAATGTAAAATCTTGTATATTCTGAGCTGGTTCACCAAGGCTATCTGCCACGTCTGCCAGTGGAGGCGACGTGTCACAACAAATCGTCGTCGGCACTCACTTTCCATTTTGGACTTTACCAATTATATTTTTGATTTTTTGTAAATTACATTTACTTCTTGACTATTCGTCAATATTTTGTTTATGTTGGGTAAGTTATTTCAAAATGATACCCGTTTTCGGTACGCCTAGCCCCTCTTTCTAGCTAGGTAGGAGGAGCCTAGATTTAAATTAGCTAGCCTAGGCCCAGGCTGGGCTAGGGCCAGGCTAGGCCTAGGCCTAGCTCAAGTCAACTCGGCCCCAAGTCAACTCGGGGCCCATGCCATGTCAACTCGGCCCCATGTCAACTCGGCCCCAAGTCAACTCGGCCCCAAGTCAATTCGGCTTCGAGTCAATTCGGCCCCAAGTCATCTCGGTCCCAATTTACTGTACCGTATATTAACGAAATAATTACCGCGGCCTAGGGTACAGCAGGCTTAGCCTATTTAGGCTGTATGTGTATGATCTGCCAGAGCCCCTGACAGGGCTAGTGTCATCGTTCAAGCGCCATAATGTAGCTTGCTAGATATATCTCACATCACATCATATTTTTGTCAAACTTGTCATAGTGATAATTACAGTAATACTTACACTACAGTAATACTCTCAGTAACTTGGCCCTAGTTAAGTAGGCTAGTGCTGCAGTGTAAAGCAGACAAAATATTAAATACAGTAATATTATTTAAAACAAAGATATTTTTTAATGCATTTTTATTTTTCCGATTATGTATGCCTAAATTTAACAAAATAAGTCGAAAAGAATGTTAACTTTTTTCATTGTCAAGTCACATGTTAAAAAAATTATGTATTTAAATAAAAGGTTTGCATATTTGCAGCAATTCATAATTGCATTAATTCATAATATGCTATGCCATGAATTCAATACTATTCCTTCATTCTTCTCTCTTTAACCCTGATTCTTTCACAATCACCTGATTCTTCCTCACCACCTCATTCCTGGTACAGTACCAATGTCATGATGATTCCATTGCTAACTCAAAATTACACACAACATATTCGGAATAGATAAGTGAGAGTGGGAATTTCAATATACCGGTATGCCTTGAAATTTTAAAATTGAGTGGTAAAATGGGGGGAACGTTCCCCCTACTGGATCCGCCCCTGCTCTCACACCTCATTCCTCCAATGCATCCTGTATATTCCAATCATACTGTACCACATAATTCTACTGGACCTATCATTTGATTCAGCCCTTACCCCCAATTTCTCCCCATTCCCTGATTTCTTACTTATCTAATGATTCTCCATACCGGATTTCCCCATCCCCATTGATTCCTACTTCACATCTTTGATTTCCTTTCCCCTTATTAACCCCACTCTTATTACCTCCCCCTGATTCTACCTTTCCACAAAAACCCTTTGAAATTATTAATTGTTCAGTTCATTTTTTCACAGGCCTATAAAAAGTTTACAAATGAGCAAGCAAACTACATAGGACTAGTGTTTACAGGCTGAATAAAAGAAGGCAAACATAAACTGTTCTAACGGTGGTAGATTGCACCTGTTACAGTGTTTCCTGTTAGTGCAACAGAAGAGGCCCTCACCATGGCTGGCAGCACTCCATGGGTGCCCATTATCAACCTGGCTAACAGCATCATTGGTGTAGGAGTATTGGCAATGCCATGGTGCTTCAATAAGGTAAATTCTCTCCACACTATCCAGCTTTATGACAAATTTGTGTGACTTTCCCATATATGGGCATGATGATATCATGTCATACCCATATATGGGCAAATTAATTATTTTTTCCTGTGTCCAGACAATGCTTCAGATAATGCTCATTGAATTTCAAGTGGATACTTAAAAAAAACAAAAGGTGGTATGGCAGGAGTGTGATCCCAAGGAAGCTCCAAATATTATGGTTTCTTAAAACATATTTTGTTGTGCATAATGATAAAATTATGAATAGCATTTATAGTGTGTTCTACAGTAAGTGTGCAATTAACCTTTAATGGTAAAATATAAAATATGAAATGAAATTTATGAGTTATACTACATTATTCATTGCATACAATTTAATTACTGTACTGAATTTATAGCTATTGATATTGCATAATATTGTTACGTGTAATATCTAGGAAATTAATCTGATCTATCTCAATGTTGTTCTATAATTGAGGCTTGCCATTCCAAAACCAATATCGGTAACCAAAAAATTCAACCAATCAGCCTTCAGTTTATAAAACAGGTCCCGACCTCATTGGTTGTGCTTCTGGTAGGTCATAACCTCATTGGTTGTGCTTCTGGTAGTTTTCATGCAACACTGCACACATTGAATACATTAGCATAAATAGATCATGATGATGGTTTATGGTTTTCTCTAACATGCTAATTATCACGATGAATAGATCATGATAAGTTTATCACAATAACCTATGTGAATGTGCCTATATACTGGAATCGACTTACTAATGCTAAAGTTGAGTAGAATTATTATTATGGCTTTAACTGTACTAAATTATACAATACTTCCACATTCTAAATGCTAATTACTAAAGTTTAACAATTAGTGACAGTACGCTTTATTTGCAATGGCAAGCCTCAAATATACATTCTACAGTAGGATACTGTACCTTGTTAAATTATGGATACATTTTTTGCAGGTATTTTACTAAATATATGAAATACTGTAATGATATTCTTTAAGAAGATTTTTTTTTAGTGACATGCTTACCAATTCAATGATTTTGAATTAAATTTAAAACTTTAATATAATTTACCAGAAATTGGATTGTTTCATTCATTAAAATTGATACTTTTAAATAAGCAATTCCATATATTAACATTTAATTTTTAGGGTTTTTTTTTTTTTTTTTTTTTTTGCCACAATGATGGTATACTAACAGTAACATATTTTATAAATGTTTTGTTCAATCCAGTGTGGTGTCATCTTAGCAACCTGCCTACTGTTTTTATCAGCTTTTCTTACATACACAAGTTGTATGTTATTATTACGGGCTGCCAAGGCAACCAAAAAAACATCGTATGAAAATCTTGGTAAGTTTTAATTGTGTTGTTTTAATAATCTACTCATTCTCATTCATTTTGACCTAATTTTAATTATTTTCTCCATTAAACCTTACATTAGATCTAACTTACATTTCCAGTGGTTTTAGGTAAATAATGAAATGGTATTGTAGTCTTTGTACCTGCAAATTTTGTTGGTGTCTGATGCGTGAGATCAAAAAAAAAAAATAAATAAATAAAATTTGTATAGCCTTTATGTAATAATCATGAAATAGAGTGCCCTCTGTTTTTTTAAAAAATTGTAGTAGAACTGCTACAGATTTCAGTCCTCGGATCTTCATTAACAGAAATTTACAATATATGGCCTGTGTTCACATTTTAATAATGAATTCACTCCATTTTTATGAATTTCAGGGTAATATTGGCCTATACGTTTTATCGTTTATTTACATTTTTTTCATACATGAGACAATGCAACATACTGTATGCATGAGATGTAAAAAGTGGATGCTCATGCGTGAGACTCTTGCGTTATGTGTGAGAGTTGACAGGTGTATTCTTTTATTTGCTATGTTAGCTTAGTTGGTTTGAGATGCATCACAGGAAATCAGGCTCATTCAACCATAGAATGAAGAAAGCTAACCATACCAACATAGCACTTTGTATATACAGTACTGTAGCAAGCCTGTTTACATTACATTATAATACCAATAGTAGTTTCCACTAAATTCCACAGTAGCGATTCAATATTATAATTATTCTGTTTATTATAAACAGTACAATTGTACCATACCGCCATGATTTTACAGTACACAATGTGCAAACTCTTTGCTCATACGGGCATATTAAATTTAAATCACTGTCAGCGATGTGCAATATGTGTAGTTTCAAATTTATACTTGTCAGGAGGGGATCATATTCAAAGTTAGTAGGGAGCCAATTGGAGTTATATACAAATTTGTTTCAAATGTTTAATAAATAAATGAATGGAACTATTATTAAGCCCCATCCAGCATCCTATCAAATTTTATCCATATAAGTCATGATGTGCCCATATATTGCCATCATGACCATATTTTGGTATTTCTCATATTTTTGTCAAATAAAATTCAATAGTTTAGACAGGAATTCAGAGACAATCATTTATTATTTATTCATTAGGACATTAAAACTGCTACGTAATGTATATAATCTATTGTGTCATGTGTTTATGTCCGAGGTCACTGGCAAAAATTGTAACAGCTGTTTTCAATGACCTTTTTTCATACGCTCAATGGTTTAACACCTACTAGTTGCATAAACATATTGCAAATGTTGTTGGTAATTAGATTTTTCTCTTCAATATTGAGAAATATCAATTATAATAATTATGAGAATCCAAATGGTCAGAAACTGTTAGAGGTGTCGTTTGTAATTGGCATCATCATAATCATCAACAATATGGTCACCACCATGTTCTTCATCATGAACATGGTAGTAATAAAAAAAAAATATTTTTTTGAAATTTTTCCATTTTTTCGTGACAGCAGGTACGCTAATTGGCCAATAATAAAATGTTATTTTTATTCGAAATCATCGTTATTTGCATATGGAGGGTTCGCTAAATGAGGTATAAAAAAGTCTCATCTAATGCTGAATAATAAAAGCTGCGAGTTATTGGTTATTCTCCTACCTTTTACCTTTATTGTTATCTGATAATGATTTTATCAATTTTTGTTTGTGTTCATTACAGCTTACCATGTATTAGGTGGGACAGGCAAAATGGCTGTTGAATTATGGTGGCTGTCTCTTATACACATCTAGATGTGTATAAGAGACAGTTATAATTTGAATGTTTAAGAGGTGGACTTATTTGCAAGTTAGGCTTGAATACCTGAAAAATTATAATATATTTAATATTATTATGATTACCATACTAGTATTACTGTTATATATTTTGGCCAGGGGTTTAGAAATGACAACCTGATGTGTTGGGCATTAGCCCATGTCATCTCTAGTCACACCGCTGGTCGTTAATATATATTTTAAATGTATAGTGACAAATTTGTAATAAATGAATAAATAATATCTTTATTTGTCTGTTCTCATTACAGTATCATCGGCCTGTTGTTCTGTTCTTGTGTATCATTCTTCATTATAATTGGTGATTTAGGGCCAGCAATAATCTCAAAATGGTTTGCAATAGAGGTGCGTTCACATGACCTAACTCTAGCAAAACACATGTTAAGAATAATCAGTCACTTTAATAAACTCACACGAATAATGGGAATTTCCCCTTTTTTACGTGGAATCTGTATTGATCAAATTCAATTAAAATTAAAATTTTATTTTCGAATGAACATAAATACAAAGAATGGTGGAATCATGCCATCTAAGGATTGTCAAAAAGTTTAAGAGGAAAACTATCAAGTGACTCTCAAAACAGATTCCACGCAAAACAGAACATAATCAAGCGTAATAAAAATTATACTAATAAATGAATAAAACCAACTTTAATAGGAAATCTTGATTCATGAACAGACCAGTTATTACTTAGCTAAACACATGTAAATATTTATCAGAACTTTAGACACACACAAATAATGGGAGTTTCCCCTTTTTTACTTGGAATCTGTATTAATCAAATTGAAATAGGAAATCTTGATTCTTAAACAGACCTGTCAGTAACTTTTGCTAACCACATGTAAACACTAATCAATCACTTTAAACATGCACAAATATTGGGAATTTCCCCTTTTTGACTTGGAATCTATATTATAGTTAAATTGAAATAGGAAATCTTGATTCTTGAACAGACCTGTCAGTAAAATTAGAATATTTATTATAATATATTTGAGTTTGCAATTAAAAATTATCATTGATAAATAGCAAAAGTTAAATGAATAGCGAACAAGTATATTTTCATCAGAAACAAATGTATTCATCAGTTATATATTAATATATTATTATCTTTCTTTCAACATATCAAGAATACAATTTAAACGCTATAAAAAAATATTATAACCTATTGCAGCTGAAGCTAGTGTAAATGAGATTTGATATTCTAAAACCAGCATATTAGTTGCTAAATGTTAAACTGAGTAATTATCATAAAAATGTGACAGTATTGTATACTTCAGTACAGAGAAGCTGTAATACTTTTACTCGAAATTTTAGAAAGAGTAAGTTGATTCCAGTAAATGACCCATCATTTTAAAAGTTATAATGTGGAGAATATGTTAAAAAGTAAATTTTCTTGTTTTGGTCACTGATATTGGGTTTTAGCATGGTAAACCCCCAATAGTTAAAAACAGTGCAAGATTAAAACATCAACCTAATTTGCATAGATATTTAAGTGAATATAATTACATTTTTTTTAAATGTCTTTATACCAGAACACTTGGACGTTGAGGGCGATGTTGCAAGTGTTTTTGGCAGTTTCTGTTGTGCTTCCTCTCGGTCTTAAGAGGAGTGTTGAGAGTCTTGCTGCTGTTAGTGGCCTCTCGATGGTATTTTATATTTGTTTCACAGCTGATGTAAGTATTTTTCTACAATTCATTACTAATTATATTCTTTATTTTTATTATCTTGGAAGTTTTATTTTCTGTAATACTGTAGGGCCTAAGTTATGGATCAGCCTGCCAACCAATGTGTGTAAAGCCCCTGGTGTTTTTAAGACGTGTCTCTTTCCTATTGTTGTGTTGCTCTTTGTTAATTGTTGTTGTTTTTCACATTTTTGTGAGCAATTTTATATTTCTTGTGTTTTTCACTTTGTACAGCACTTTGTTCTTTATGGAAAAGTGCTTAATAAATCCAGTAATAATAATAATAATAATAATAATAATAACTAATTAAATTCTTTGAAATTTGGAGTTTAATATTTTAAATTAAGGTTTGATGTCTTATCCATTTGTATCACAGACAGGCTCATTTCACTAGTATACACAGCATTTTTCATAAATCGTTGTTTCATTTCAGATGTTTTTAAATAGTTTATACGACTTGTCGTTAGGGAAGTGGAGGCATGAAAGTACAATGTGGAATACCCCTGGTGGGTTTGTTTGTATCACCATAACGACAATAGCATTCAGTTGTCAAACGTAAGTTCTAAAGTTTTCTGTAGTGTCTTGTCTTTTACTAAAAGTGTTTGAACGAATGGTAAAGTATTACCATTGTTGAATAAAGTTGCTGAATTATTATTATTTATATATATTATTTACATATTTTAAAAAATGATTCGGGATAGAACCTTCTATTATGGCGAATACTGCCTCTGCTTTTTTTAAATTATTCTGCATTATTTGTATGATTTGAATTTATAATTATTAACATGTTAAAATATTGATAATAGTATTAATATAACAATGTCTTCATAGTTCTAGTTGTCTTTTCCAAGTGCAATAATTAAAATGAATTTTTCCTAATAATAATTATAATAATTAAAAAATAATGATAATATTATATATAATTATAATATCAATAATAATAATTTTTATAATTTCTGACTTTTAATTTTTTTTTATTGCACTTGTCGGGTTTTAATTCCTGTCTTGTTCTTCTCATTTAATATGATTTTATTATAAGTAGGCTAAATGAAATTTAAAATTATTTAGGTCCACAATATTTTATATTATGTATTTTACCTATTTGTCTTCTATTTTGGTATACTTGTTTAATCCATTTTGAATGTACCTATATTCAAACAATATGATTATTTTCTCTATTTGATGAAAATTGCAACAAAGTATCTTATATTTTGTTCCATGGCTGGCCTCACAGACATTTAAACATAATGTTCATGCGTCCTAGGACTAGGCACAACCAGCAATGTCTTTGCTGAATCTGAACGGTACTGGGAGTGGACTAGATGTTGTGCTTTACAATAAGGCATCCATTTTTAAAAGTCTTGTAAAGATAGCCAATCTACAGTAATTGTAACTTCAACATGATCAGAAACAGACTAACTCTGAAATTAGATAGAAAAATTAGAAAATAATTTTGCCTTAATTATAGAATAGACACAATCATTCAACATATTAATTATTAATTATGTAACAGTGAACTCATTTTGTTATTTTGTTTTCTATGGCTTTTAGGGTGCTGTTTACAATTTATGAATCAATGACAGATAGAACAATAAAGAAGATGCAAGAAGTTGTAAAGAGCTCCGTCTCATTGGTCACCACATTGTACTTAGTCGTGAGTTTGTACTGAAAATTAATTAAATAATTAATTTACTAATTCACAATAATATTTATCACAGAAATATAAGAAGATTCTCCAGACCATGAAGTGAGGATTTAGAATAGAACCTGTTTTGCCAGACCACCTTTAGTTCTATACACCATAAACTGTTTTTGAGATTCTTAGTTGGAAATCACCATTTGTGACCATGCTGGCTGTTTATTAAAGAAGCCTAAGGACTTTCTTCTTTTCCCGCATCAGGCATGAAGTCAATTACATTGAAAATGTAATCAATTACAGTGAAAATTTAATCAATCAGTAAAAATGTTATCAATTACATTGAAAATATGATCAAAAACAGTGAAAATTTAATAAATTACAGTGAAAATGTTATCAATTACAGTGAAAATGTAATCAATTTCAGTGAAAATTTAATGAATAACAGTGAAAATGTAATCAATTACAGTGAAAGTTTTATTAATTACAGTGAAAATGTAATCAATCAATGAAAATGTAATCCATTACAGTGAAAATATAATCAAATACAGTGAAAATGTGATCAAATACAGTGAAAATGTAATCAAGTACAGTGAAAATGTAATCAATTACAGTGAAAATGTAATCAATCAATGAAAATGTAATTGACCCCATGCCCACGTGGATCCTGCACGCATAGCCTTAACCCAGTAAAACAGCCCTTTTGAACATCATTATTAACAGCAGCATTGTTGGCAGTATTCATGCAAATGTATGACTTTATTTTTTCTATGTATAGGTTGGATTATGCGGCTATGTCACATATTACAAACAAGGTATTAAAGGAGACATTTTGCTGAACTTCAAACCATCGCTAACGTCCGATATATTCCAGCTGTGTTTCACCCTTTCTGTCGCTCTCAGTTTTCCATTAGTGATCTTCCCATGTAGAACCAGTTTGTATTCAATGTTCTGCTCACAGAGCACGGTAGGTTGTAATTCATTATATAAATTCTATAGAAAATAATGGCTGGAACTAGTAATTTATAAAAATATAACCAAAACAACTGCAATATTCGTCCATAGACAAACCCCGGTATTCTTAAAGCGAACTTCAAAATTACGTCATTTCGTATTCTTAAAATTAACTTCGACTAGCACTAGCTAGGACTAAATCACACAAACCTCAACCAAAATTATACCTCCGCAGGCCGATTTTTTTAGTCAGACTCGGTTAAGGCTAAAACACTGAATTGAAATATTTACCCCCAAAAAAAACATTTTTTTTGTAACTCACAATAGAATGAAAATAATAAATATGTATAAGTAGGTCTGATGTATCTTCAGTGTGTTCATGAAAGAAACATTGTGTTTTCCTCCCAAAAGGCGAAAATATTAACATGTTTTGCTAGCCACATGTGATAGTTCCTTCGTGTTGCGGTCACATAGCTTCATGGTAACAACAACAAAGATGGTGCCGCACTTGCTCGGGCTCAACTATAATCTTTCTCCAAAGAAAGCAAATTTTCAGTGACTGTTCAAATTCTCTATCATTATATGTTACCGACTAATATATTATAGAAAATGAATGAAGGGAATAATGGTCTATTATGAATTATGAGGAAATATGTTTTTGAACGACAAACGGCAGCTAAATATTCATCTGCGTTACCGGATCTCTAAAATTTTGTCTGCTATTAAAATTAGCTCTTTTCATTGGTTAGTTTGATAGTCCTTGCTTGCCAGCCGTCTTCAGCTGAACTACAATTAGGACTTGATTTAGTCGTAGTTAGAACTTCGACTACATTGTTTATGAATACAAATTGAAGTTTAAATTGCAACTAGGACTTGATGATGTTCGACTATAGTTCGTTTTAAGAATACGGGCGAAAGATGCATGTTTTGACTGATTACTTGATTTATTGATTGATTGCGGGCGTATTTGGCGGTGCGCGGGCGTATTTGGGGGTGCGCACCCCCTCCCCTTAAAAAAAATGTGCGTCCCCAGTTGCCCCGAGCCCCATTGAAAATATTTGAAGCAAAATAATCACGCTAGTAGATAGGGTTCCCCCTCCCATTTCAAAACTTCCATCTATCGCACTGATTGATTGACTTACTTGTTTCATCTTCTAGTCTCATAGTGTAGAGAATCCTGGCGGATCAGGTGGAAGCGTCTACATTCCACAAGGAAAGTTCAACACAATTACTTTATCAATTATCATATTAACTCTGTCACTAGGAATCATCGTTCAAAATGGTAATAATTTGACACTTGTCTTCATTTAAACAAACTCCTTCTGTTAACTAATTTATTCATATTATTCGAAAGAATGTAATTAGCTCAGGAGGTAGATCTGGATTCAAGTTTAGGTGGTGGGGGGGTGTTAAAATGTTTCCAAAAATAACCCATAAAGAATGGGAGTCCTAGATTGCAGGAAATGAGCTTTTCCGACTTCTGAGGTGTCTTTTAATGTCTTAAAAATTCAAGGTTCTGCCCCTTTTGGAAATGGTCAGGTAAATTTTCTCATTTTTATTACAGTAATTAGGCCTATTGTGTGTGTATACATTCAGAAAAAAAAAATTGAGCAGTTGCATACGTATTCTTTTTTCCATGAATCGATAAACACCAAAAAGAAAGGGGGGTCGGAAAATTTTGATTCCTAGATGGTGGGAAATGACCTTTTCCGACTTCTAATTTTCCCATTGTAACAAAAAAAATTTTAGCTCATTTCTGACATTCTTAAACCTATATTCACAACACGACTTCTCAGATCATCTAGTAAGCAGCTTCTTGAACAAAGCAAATCGAAACTGAAACATTTTGGAAAACATTCATTTTCATGTACTGCCCCTATATTATGGAGTACCTTACACACTGACATCTGTTTATCTTCCGAGTGTATTTCTTTTCAAGAAAAGGTTAAATGCTTACCTTTTTTCAATCTCTTACAAAGTGATTGACACAGAAATGTAGTGTAAATAGTTTTTCTTTCACAGTTTCATAAGTTAAATTTATCATGTGCACTTTATGTATTGCCAACATCATTAGTGCTATCATTGCTGTGGTCATTGTTATTATAATATCATCATTATCATTATTATTACATAACAACACAATATTAGTTTGATTATCCTTTGTTATTGTAGTTGAGACTGTTCTTGCTTTGACTGGTGCTACTCTGGGTAGTTTCATCTGCTTTATTCTACCAGCTATCATTTACAACAAAACACAGGGCGTGGCTAATAAAGGAACAGCTAAGGTAAATGTGTTTCTCTAGCCCTGTCCAGACTATCAAATTTTATTTGACAAAAATATGTGACATGCCTAAATATGGTCGTGATGACATCACATCATGACCATATATAGGCAAATCATGACTATATATGGGCATACAACAGTTTTTGTCAAAGAAAATTTGCGAGTCTGGACAGGTCGTTACACTTTTCTGCCTACCCTGCTTGTAAATAGCCATATTACCATGCTTAAATTTCCTAAATGTAAATCAGTAGTTGTTTTCCTATCTGTGTTGCCCTCTTAAGTACCACATGCAGAATTTTGACAGAGGCTTTGAAATCGTAAATTTTATGAATTCAATTTTTCTTTCCAGTTTATTCTTGTTATTGGTATTTCACTGACTGTAATTGGCTTGTACCACAATCTTCAGTCCACGCCAAATGATGAAACGCCGATTCTTGAAGAGAGTTTTGAAATTCCACAACCTGGTCGTTTTATAGAGCCTATTAAGAAGTTCGAAAATATTGATACTCAAGTAAAATTAGTGGCAGATGAGAAAAAAGGTAACTTTTCACTTTAAGGTCTTAAGTATTTTGAATTTAGATTTTCAATTCTGTCTTGCTTTCGTACATGTGTGTAATTGCACCTTAAACTTGTTTTCATTTTTGACAGGTGATGTGCATATAGAACCACCAAACCCACACCCGCCAGTTGACATTGTACCAAAGGAGAAGAACATTGAAAAGGTAAGTCTTCAGAGGCTTACCCATTTGGAGAACTGTAGCTTGAATGGAATTATTAAATTGGACAACATACCATGCTTCTAAGTGTCGAGCGGCCAAGCGGAAGGCAGGAGCGCCGCTATCTACAACCTTAACATCGGCATTCCAACCGCCCATCGCCGATGGTTCGGTTGGTAGAACCAAGTTCTTGGATGAGGACTTACAATGGAGGTCCAGTGTATATATCTGACTTGTGTGCACTTTAAAGAACCCATTGCATCTTTTAGAATAGTAGGGGATTACCCCAATTTTATGGTTCATTTCAGTCCCTGTCATTAAGGAATGATGTGAAATTGTAGTTACTATAAGTAAAGTAAGTACTATAACTCCTTTACGGCTGCTAGGTAGTCACGGACCACGCCCATACGCAATTCAGCACAATGACGGTGCAAGTTATTTTCCTACCTTTACCCAAAATGTTAATAAATTGCTAACTTAAAGCATTATATGTGAACCTAATTGTGTTTTATTTGCTTTTGATTGCCAGGATGATCACAGAAATCAAGATGTTGCCAAAGGTAAGCTGGATTGTACTTTACAAACTTAAAAATTCCACCAACCCCATCAAACATATGCCCTGAATAACTCCTCATTAATCAGTTATCTTTTGTCAATATGTTATATGCAAGTCTACTTTATAGCTGAGCATTTAGAATCGGAAGCGGTCTGACTGCCTTGATTTTATATGCACACAATGAAACATTGAAAATAGTACTACCACTTAAGATTGGAGGTGCCCTTTTACATTCTTTTGAAGGATGCCCTCTAGTTCCTGGTACTGTCTTGCTTTTTTTAACGTAGGATTGAATTCCAACAAAACCCCAAGAGTCAAACCTCTTATAGTCTTATACTCTTTTCTGAGAGTTACCGTAAATGCTTGAATAAGCGCTACTCTCGAATAAGCGCCTCACCAAATGTGATCTTTTTCGCTGAGCACTGCTCTCAGCACTTAAATCGAGAGTATATTATTACCCTTTGTGTAATGAAACAATGGGTTTTAAATACAATGTATGCTGTGTTAAAATGAATAAATAACACAATGAAGACACAAGCATTTCTTTATAAACATTTATTTACGATGACGTAGAACCTATGATAAGCCTACCAAACTACGAGAATACGTGAGATAGGTAACATGGGAACGGTCATGGAAAGCGCCATGCCAATATTACATTGCAATTGCCGCTCTTGAATACGCGCCACTTTCGAATAAGCATCGCACTGAAGCCTCCAAAAATTGTATAAGCGCTGCAGCGCTTATTCCAACATTTACGGTATGTTTCTACTTCTTGTGTTGAAGACCTTGGTTCAACACCATCAGTTTTTAATTGGAGTTCGAAAGCTCAGCTGCAGGAATAACTCTTACATAAAAGCATGGTGGGATAAGGGACAATGTATTTGTTACTTATCAACAATGTACTGTGGTTACTGTAGGTCCCCGAAGGTAAGGCCAATTGGGAAACATTTAATTATGCTGATGGTTTACTTGTACAATGTATAGTTATTTCAATTTATGTTTTCCTCTTTGTAGCCCGACTGGATGAGCTAATAGATTTAGAACATGAAGATGAAGATGAAAAAGAAAAAAAGGTAAAATAAAAAAAACATTGAGTGTCAGTCGTACATACACCAGTTCACATGTAAATGTACAGTGTTATTTCTGAGAGAAGTAATCTTGTACACGTTGACGTCCCAGATTAAAAAATATCTCCTGATAGGCCTGATAGGAGCATGAGTGTATTGCAGTTTGCAGAAACTAGGTCAAGGTACTATCAACCATTGGTCATCTATCAACACACTGTACTGTCATGCGTGTCAAATTATATGAACTGAAGTGAACCTTAACACCTTCTAATATTACACAGGATTGAATCTTTGACTTACAGAGCAAGCGCAGTATACTAAAAAAAATGAACATCTCCCTTACTTTTTACATGAGCTTGTGGTGCTGCCACTTAAAATAGAAGTCTTTAAAGTTATTATTGTCAGTTACTAAATATAAGAATATAATTGAAATAGATAGAGTTTTGTACATTGTTCAGATTTGTTTTACTGTATTTTTTCATTTACCAGATCTGATCAAACTTTTTTTGTTGCAGGGTCAAAAAGAAGCTGAAAAACAGGATGCTGAAGCAGAGGTTATAGAGCAACTGAAGGTACAATTTTCAGATATTAATGACAGCTATGGCACAATACCAGGAAAAAGTCTCAACATTGACAGAAGTAAATAATTAAGGGTCTGAAATTAGAAAGGTTTACATGAAGTCTGTATTAAGTTTAGTATGAAACAAAGCTTTCGCTTGAGTCATTTAGAGTCTTATGTAGTTGCTTAAAGAGTGTTTCTACCATAACTTATGTTACATTATCAGCTGAATTAAAATGTATTCACTTAATTATATTTTATACCTTTTTTAGGAAAAACAAGTTGAACAAGAAAAAAAGATAGAGGCTCAAGCAGAAGAAATAGAAATTCTAAAGAAACAGCATGAAGAAGAGGAACTTGAAAGGAAGGAAAAAGAAAGGCAGGAAAGGATTGAGAGAGAAGAAAGAGAAAGAAAAGAACAAGAAGAAAAACAGCAGAAGAAACATGAAGAGATGGTAAAGGAGAAGAAAGAGAAGGAAGATGCTGCTATTATTGAAAAGGCAAAAGAAGTGATTGAACAAGCTGCAGTTTTACAAGGAGGTTTAGGCATGCCTCAAGCACCTGTTGGAGATCAAGGTGGGGCATTACAAGGAGCTTTAGGTCAGCCTCAAGTACCTATTGGTAATCAAATTGCAGGATTACAAGGAGGTTTAGGTCAGCCTCAAGTACCTGTTAGAGGCCAAGGTGCAGCTTTACAAGGAGGTTTAGGCATGCCTCAAGTACCTGTTGGGAATCAAGGTGGGGCATTACAAGGAGGTGTTGGTCAGCCTCAGTTACCTCTTGGAGATCAAGCTGCAGCTTTACAAGGAGGTTTAGGTCAGCCTCAAGTACTTGTTGGAGGTCAAGCTGCAGCTTTACAAGGAGGTTTAGGTCAGCCTCAGGTACCTGTTGGAGGTCAAGGTGCATCATTACAAGGAGATTTAGGTCAGCCTCAGGTACCTGTTAGAGGTCAAGGTGCACCATTACAAGGAGGTGTAGGTCAGCCTCAAGTACCTGTTGGAGGTCAAGGTTCACCATTACAAGGAGGTGTAGGTCAGCCTCAAGTACCTGTTGGAGATCAAGTTGCAGCTTTACAAGGAGGTGGTCTACCTCAAGCACCCATTGGAAATCAAGGGCCAGCGTTACAAGTAGGTGTAGGCCTACCTCAATTATACGTTGGGGATCAAGGTTTGCCATTACAGGGTGTAGGTCAGCCTCAAGTACCCATTGGAGATCTAGGTGCAGCAGTACAAGAAGGTGTAGGTCTGCCTCAAGTGCAAGTTAGAGATCAGCAACAACTTGGAATTGGTGTTCCTTATGCAAGGCAAGATCTTCAAGACAATGCTGCATTTGGAGGACAATTACAACAACAACAGAATTTAGTGCAAATGAATCAACAGGCAGGTGTCCAACCAGTACAGATTGCACAAGGTATTCCACAAGATATGCAAGATTTCAAACAAGAAGTCCGAGCTGTGCAGGGGATGAAGCAAGAGCAAGCCCCAGCCCTTGGACAGGGTGAAATTTTTGCTCCAAAAGCTGGTATAGCTGGTCTACCAGGTGAACAACAGATTCTACCTGGAGCTGCAGGCGGTCCACTAATTGATCAAGGAATGCAACAAGGAGGCATTCCAGGCCTTGGACAGGGTGGCCAAGAAATTCAGCCTGTTCAGAAAGAGGGACTAGATGCTCAACCAGTTGACCAAAGAAATCCAGTTGAACAGAATGAGCAAAGGGATGAGAAAGTTAATCAACGTCAAGACAGGGCTGCATTAAAACCAGGTAGCCACAGCGTAGGTGATAAAATGGTTGATGTTAACAAGAAAGACAAAAAGATAGAAAATGAAGAAGGCGTTATAGGCGGTAATCTCGGAAAGCATAATGAATTAATTAAACAAAAAAAATCGGATTCTAAAGCTGGCAGCGTAGAAAAGCACCACAAATCAGCACTAGCTGATAACTTAAACGCCAAAGATACAGACGTAGATTTACAGCTGGATCTGGTACCTCATGACGACGACACAGCAGACAGCAAACAGAAACAAACAGGTAACGCAAATGCACAGAAAGATGTTGATGACATTGTGAAACTTAACAAGCAGAATCTTGTGAAAGAAAATGATGCTGAGATGCAACTGGTGAAGGCTGTCAAGGAAGATGTAGTTGAGAAAGATGCAATTGAGAAACATGCTGGAGGTCAAGAGGGAAACAAAGTTGAACAGAAAAAAAAAGTAGAAATGTGAACCAACAAAATTTGTTGTCGGTTTATAATTACTCTTAAGAACTGTCTTTTTAGAAGAGTTGATATGCCACCATCTCAAGATGAAGACAAGTGCAGATTGGAAAATAATTTAACCTGAAAATGGTAAATACATGTGGTGTTTGGAATCCATGATGTCTTGGGAATTTTGTTATGGATGACTTAGAATGTTTCATTTTTTCATCCTGACATGTCTTGAAAATTCAAATACATTTTATGATACTTTGACCATATGTTGATATTGTGAGGAAACATTGCAACAACGGATGCTACAAACTAAATGTAATAGACCTACAGTGGCAAGATGTTTAGTTGATACCACAGAGAATATTTGCTGAGCTTAATATTCTAAACCAAAGGAGGCAGAATGTTTGAGTTTTGGTTGATGATTCTGTCCACACTCAAATTCTATGTGATATGCCCATATTAGGGTGTAATATGACATCATCATGTCCATATATGGGCATGTCACACCCATTTGTCACAATGTGTGTAGTGTGGACAGAACTCTATGTATACCTTTATTTTTTCAGTATAAGAAGCTGTCTTTCTCCAACCTTTGATGCATAATATATTGAAATATTTAAGAAATTTGGATGTTTTCTTCTGAAATCTGTCATTTTGTAAGTGATTCATTTGAATTCTGTTTTTGAAACACTTCGATAAGTAAGCATGACTGATTTTACTTTTATTTTTAGGTTTAAATGTAATGCCAAAAAATGAATTAGTTCTCAGGGGTGGCATCAGCGTTTCCTTTACAGGTGGTCCCTCATACCCTGAGCCACGCCCACATTAGTCCACCATGATTGGGGCTGAGGCAAAACCAAAATGATTTTTGTTACTTCTAGAATCGTGAAAATGGCACTCTCAGGTGCGCTGTCTCTTGCTTAAAAAAATCGTTCTTAATAATGTTTCCTCGACGGATTTTATCATGCTCCCTGAAAGCCGGGCCAGGTGTCCCCGACAGCTGGGCCCGGGCCCAGTTGGCCCACCTGCTGTCGCTACCCCTGGTTGTTCTAATCTAAGAGCTAAATAAATGTAATAATATATTGATGATATGTGAAAATTATTTTGCACAGAGGCAACGTGGGGCAGTCAATCCATCACCTCACTCTGCAGTAACCTTTCCACTAAGCCCCGCCCCTTGGATATAGTTGCTAAGGTCCCACAAAACGACTGTTAAAACGTAACGTTTGTGGGACAACACGTGTGCTTGTTAAACCCACGTGTATTCTTGGCACTGTTCTGATTGGTTGGTTGTTAAGTTTGATTGACACTCCGGAAAGGTCCATTCGCTTGTGTTCTCGAGCTAGGCACTTTATCTGCACTGCTTATCTCCACCCAGGAGTATAAATAGATACCTGGTGAGGTTGCGTGCTTATGCACTATTTACACGAAAGAAATATATGTTGAAGCCCTATTGTTTGGACTTTGTCAATTTATATTAGATATGCTAGGTATTCTTGTACTATGCTGGATTTAAATTTTCTGCAACTAATGAAAAATGATAAGGATACCAATGCATAAATAGAAACTATTTGCTCTTGTAAAAAATATTTACCAAAAATTGAAGTATCGCAGCATTACTATTTGACAATTAAAATGATGATGTATTATTAATTAGTAGTAAGAATTTTTATCAGAGTATGACAGGTCTCTCTCCAATTAAAGACCCCTCCCATTAAAGGCCACCTCCAATTAAAGACCACTTTTGTGTTGTCCCATATTCACAAATGTCTATATTTTGATTATTTTAATTAAAGACCAAGCTGCTAAAGACTGGAAACCCTTGTCCCAATAGTTTGTCTTTAGGGAGCTTTCGATTGTACGACGACGGTAGGACGTATAACGTAATGACGGCAGTTTAAGTCATCTACGCATGCGAGAACGTTACGGTCACATCGAGTAGATTCTGGAACGCAATTTGGCCAAATATGCGTATGCAGAGAACGTAGTACGCCAAAGTAGGACGGTCATGCATGAGTGATTCCATTCTAGCGTCGCGTCGTCGCACAAATCGAAAACACCCTTTTGATTGGAAGGAGACCTGTATTATTATTATTATTATATTATTATTAAGATAATCATCATCATTATTGTTATTAGTATTATGATAATCATCATCATTATTATTATTAGTATTAAGTTTATTATAGTTTTTGTTGCTGCTGCTGTTGTTATTTTTATTATACAGTATTACTTTCTGTTACGCAAGAAATACTGTCAAATATGGGGATATATATTTTTACAAGTATTTTGTACAAACTATTTAAGTGTCTGCAACTAAGCCTATATGGACTCAATCTATCAATTATTATTTATTTACTGTTTACCTACCTGATTATACAAAAACCATCATGGACTCTTGTTCTTAATTTTGATACCGAATAATGAATAAATGATAGAAACATTTCAAATAACTAGAAGTGTTTCTATATTATTCATCAGAATTTTGGGTAAATTTAAGGGAAATATTTTTAGTACACTTGTTTTTTTATGTTCAGTTTGATCATTTTTGTATTACTTCAAAATAAACAAGTTATTTCAGCATTGAAATTTTGTGATTTTGTTGCAATTTTTAAGTGGAAATTGTATCTTTAATTTACAGTTTGTAAAGCTAAAGATTTAAATACACAACCAGGTATTTCCATTTAATATGCCCACCGGTGTTATTTTATAGGCAGGGTACGATTCAGCATACCGTAGTTCCATAGACTGAGTTAATGCAAAATTCTATTGATTGAGGACGGCATAGTTTAATGAACTTTAACAAACCAATATTTGTCCGTCCATGGATCTCCATGTAATGTCACTAACGTTCGAAGAGGAACTCATTTGAAAATATTAAACAAATTTATGCTATATACTCTAATCTCATTTTTGTTGTGTCTGACTATGCAGTAGCCTAGTGATGACGATGATGATAATGACGGTAATAATGACGACATTGACAATGCTATTAATATGTACATACTCATTAAATAAATTGAATGATTTATTTACCATTTATAATTAATGAAATGAAATTTAATCGAATACTGATGAGGATATGGTGATGATTAGGATGATAAATAATTAATGAATAATGAAGATATTATATGTAGAATTTTGAATTATCGATAATTTCCACTAGCAAATTATATTACTGATATTCTCCAACAAAATGTATCCCAGTTTGTGCTAAACAAGGCCTACAATCAGTCCACAATCGCTGTTGCTTTGTATCTGTCATATCGTGCCAATTGCCTTTTTGCGCGATTGATTTAAAATTAATTTTCATTAGATTATCATATGTTGATTATTGTATGGCGCAACATATTGTTATCATCCGAAATGTTTTTACATTTAAGAATACGATTAACGTTACTGAAATTTTCCCGCCGGAGTAGCTGTATTAGGTTATGATATCCGAAATACAATAATGCGGATTAAAAATAATAATAGTAATAATAAAAATGCAGGACATCGTCTAATAAAGTTAATGATACTAAATTTGACGTGTCACACGTCATCATCAGGGGATGGTGTTTATGCTCTACACCAACATGTTTACTAATAATAAAATTTATAAAGCGTCAATTAAAGGACCGAGGTGCATTATCAGAGGCGCTGTGCATGTTAATGATGGAAAAGGTGAGTTTTAAGTAATTTTTTTAATGAAGCAACAGAAGAACAGTTTTTAATGTGTGCAGAGAGTGAATTCCAAAGTGTAGGTGCGGCAAAAGAAAAAGATTTATGACCATTAGTTTTTATGGATGTGCGGGGAAATTTATATGATCTTAGGGTGTATCCAAGAACATAAATATATAAATATTATATACTACGAGTCTGATGTATGAAAAAAAAAAAAAAAAAAAAAAAAAGTTTGGTCGAATTTGGCCGAGAGAGGGCGTATGTTTGGCTTATCAATTATCAATGGCAACCGAATAACAAATTCCTGAAATAAATTGTTGTTTTCCCAACCTAACGATGTCGTACAGAGATCTAAGAAGTTAGTAGTTTGTCTTTATGTTAATATAATGTTGACATTATGAGTGTGAAGCCATTGTTAACTAATTTTAAACTAAATTCAAATTAAAACTGATATTTTAAGATATAAACGTCTAGGCCAAGCCAGGACCATCTTTCATAGAAGCCCAGGGAGAATTGGTCTGACGCCGCAGACTCTTTCAGAGCGGCCTAGTAAGACTAACGGTAGCTAGCCTAGGGCCTAGCCTTGTGTAGGCATAGACATAGCAGTGGCGGATCCAGGAATTCAAAATAGAGGGAATCTTGGGAGAAACTTTCACAGTAAGGTGAGATATCACTAAAGGTAAGATGGAGGA